CCTCGATTGGTTGTCTCCCACACATTTCCTGACTTGGGCTGGGGATTACCAAGTGTACCTGTTAATTATGCGGTTTTTTTTTTCCCCTCCAATAGATGGAGTTTCACATATGTTGATATATATGTGATTTGATATGTATGCTATTTTGTTGTATTGACAGCAAGCTTCAAAACTTCATATGTCAAATTTTCTGAAGATGTTAACATATGTATTTTTACACTTAAAAATGTCAAATTTTGTGCCTAAAAAAAAAGAGCATTTGAGGTAAGTTTTAATTCATCAGTTTATTTTGAAGAAAAGTGCTGCTGAAAGTTATCTTATACTTCAGAAGCTTATAGTGAACATGCTCCATCTCAAGATACTTGTGAACGCTGGTTTAAGTGCTTTAAAAGTGATGATTTAAAAAATAAATAAATAAAAGTGATGATTTTGATGTGAAAGACAAAGAATGTCCAGGTCAACTGAAAAAGTTTGAGGACCAACAATTTCAAGCATTATTGAATGAAGATGTGTGTCAAACTCAAAAACAACTTGCAGAAAGATTAAACGTTGCTCAGCAAACAATTTTAGATCATTTACAAGCAATGGGAAAGATTTTAAAGGAAGGAAAATGGGTGCCACATCAACTGAATGAAAGACAAGTGGAAAACTGAAAAGTCATCAGTAAAATATTGCTTCAACGGCACAAAAGAAAGGTTTTTGTTTTTTTTTTGTTTGTTTTTTTGCATCAAATTGTGACTGGCGATGAAAAGTGGATTTATTTTGAGAATCCCAAATGCACAAAACCATGGGTTGGTCCAGGTCAACCATCAATATCAACTGCAAGACCAAATCAATTGGAAAGAAGACAATGCTCTGTGTTTGGGTAGGCCTAAGTCTGAAAGTCTTCTCCCTCCAAAACAGCCTCTTGCATCCTGATATTTAATATATGTCCTAATTTGATTCCACTGTGCTTATTGGCTGTCATATGTCAATACTTACAATAAGTACCTTCTCTTCAACAGTACTTATTGCTCACAAGCAGGGTACAAGGCACTACCTGGTGGATGCAGAAATGAATACATCTATCACCTCTTCATGATCATGAAGTCATGGAGCTTGTCCTTGAGTGATGTATAAGGTAGAGGGAAACAAATAATCGTCTCTACTGAAAGGCAGAATGGAATGAGTTATAATGACTGAAAGAAAGGAGTGCAAAAAAAAGCCATCATTAATTTCACTAATCATATCAGGAAACGCTTCGTAGAGGACTGGGCATTACAGGATGTGTGGAGGGGTAAGGGGTGGAGCCCACATTCTCGCTGAGGCTCTGTGCCACACACAGGCAAGGGACTGTGTCCATCATGGTGTCTGGGGAGGGCGGCCAAAATACAGCATGCAGATCCAGGGCTGTTTTTGTTTGTTTGTTTATGCTTTCCTCATGTGAATGCCCTCCTCTGTCTTCTCCACTCTCTGCCAAATCCCATTCATCCTTCAAGGCCCAGTTTCAGCTCTGACAGTGCTAGCTTGGGCCACTCCAGGTAATATGCAGTTCAGGATTTAGTTGTAGTGTTTGTGCTGGAATTGGTTTCTCAGTTAGTCCAGGACAGACATTACACTCATCTCATACTTTGGGGACCTTGTAGCCCCAACAAAGTGCTAAAGACAGTCAGGGCGAGGGGGTTTATGGGTCCATTCACTATGACTAACATCCTCCTTCTACCTAAATGCAGTGTGTGTGTATATATATATATATATATATATATATATATATATATTTTTTTTTTTTTTTTTTTTTTTTTTTTTTTCCTGTGCAGTCTGGGGTTGTTTGTGGGCATTTAAGATTTAGCTGGTGCCAAAACCGGTTTGGCTCAGTGGATAGAGCATCGTGGGCCTGCAGACTGAAAGGTCCCAGGTTAGATTCTGGTCAAGGGCATGTATCTTGGTTGCAGGCACATCCCCAGTAGGGACTGTGCAAGAGGAAGCTGATTGATGATTCTCTCTCATCGATGTTTCTAACTCTCTATCCCTCTCTCTTCCTCTCTGTAAAAAAATCAATAAAATATATTTTTAAAAAATTTAGCTGGTTATATTTGTTAGCTCGTAGGGGAGCAGTGTTTCAAATACTCACTTGAGTGTTCCACTCAGATGCGGAAGGGGAAAGGGAGGGAGCACCTAACCTTGAGCTGAACTCTGTGCTCTCTGGGTGGAACCTTGGGAACTGGGTTGGGCCTAGTTGCACAATCTGGAACATCATCTCTCAAGTTCCTGCTTGAGAAAGATTTTGCTTCTTGCAAGTCTCTTGTTTTGATGGTTGCGTTGCACTTAGTTCCCCTAAAGTGCTAGAAAGATAACTTGTCATTCCCTTTTGGAGAAGGGGGTACCGGGCATGGCTTCTTGGTCCTGAGGATACTTGCATTGTGTGTTTATGTGATTCTGCAGACAATGAGAACTACCGTGTTTCCCTGAAAATAAAACATCCTCCGAAAATAAGACCTACTTACAGGTTTCCTTCTGAGTGAAATATAAGGCATCCCCCGAAAATAAGGCCCCCCCTAGGCTCTGTCTCAGAATGCTATTGCTAAACATGAGAGATTTGGTCCACTGATTCTGAAAGAAATGGAGTCACAAGAAATTCACCAGGAAATTCAGGAATTGGATTGTTATGATGATGTTCCAGAAGATGATGACATGATTGTCATTGAATAAATAAGCAAATTCTTGATACTGTAGGATTCACAGTTTGTCTGATTTGTGTTGGCAACTACCGTACTACCGTACCATATACAGGTAATACATTTCCTTTATTTTCATTTAACAATAAATGTGTACCATATTCTTCTTCATGGAAAACTAAGACATCCCCTGGAAATAAGACCTAGCGCATCTTTGGGAGCAAAAATTAATATAAGACACTGTCTTATTTTCAAGGGAACAGAGTAGTTGTAGTAAGGAGTCGGCTCATGTAGTTACGGAGATTGAGAAATCCCAAGATCTGTAGTCGGCAAGCTGGAGTGGTGATAGTATATAATTAAGGTGACTAGATTTTAACATTGGTAAAGTGCGATACCATTGTCTGGGGATGAGGGGGAGTTCTTGATTAAAAATTTGGTCTATATGGAGCAACAAAAATTTTCATAGAACACAAAAATAGTATTGTAATATATATTTTAAAATTACAATATAAGTATAATTTACAAATATAATAAATAAAAAATTATGTTTAGTATTATATTATTTTATTCTTTGGCATATTTCTCATTTGAGTGAATTTTTTTTTAGTAGATTGCTACTGTTGTTTAAAAGGTTGTTTAAAAATTTTCACAAGAATTTGTTAAATTATTTTTCACACATAAAATGGCTTTCAAAGTCTCAACACTTAATTGTGATTTTTCTGATATCCACACTTTATTTACCTGAGAAAAAACGCGTTCAGTCGCAGCATTAGTTCCTGGTAAGGACAGCGCGTATTCCACAATTCTAACAACTGATCAACAATGAGAACTTTGATAAGCAGTTCTCGACAATCAGCTCTTAACAATTATTTGTTATTTTTGAAGTTTAACATTATAAAATTAACAAAAGTAATATAAAACTCATATCCTGGCTACATAGCCACATGGCTGCTGAAAACCGTATATTCCCTTCCTGTTCTCCTACCATTCCCTAGCTTATCGTGCATTCTTTCCAAAAAAAACCGCTGGGGGATTCGGGACAAATTGTTAAAAATCGGGACTGTCCCGCTAAAAGCGGGACGTCTAGTCACCTTATATATATATTAGTTCCAGACTGAGTATGAGAGCCAGGAGAGCTAATGGTGTAAGTTCCTGTCCAAGTCCAAGTGCAAAGGCAGAAGAAGACCTATGTACCAGCTCAAAGACAGAGACAGAGACAGAGACAGAGACAGAGAGAGAGAGAGAGAGAGAGAGAGAGAGAGAATAAATTCTCCCTTACATCACCTTTTTGTTCTATTCAAGCTTTCAGTGGATTTAGTGATGCCCAACCAGGAAAGTAGAATTAATCTGCTTTACGTAGTCTACAAAAAATCAAATGTTAATCTCATCTAGAAACACCCTCACAGATGCATTTGAGTAAAATTTGACCAAATATCTGTGCACCCCTCCCCCTGCCTAGTTGACACCTAAAGTTAACCATCACAGAGTGATACGGAAGGGAAGCTTGGCTGGGAAGAAAGTCTGATGAAGCCTTTGAAGTAAGGCCTGAAGAAAAACGCCCAGCACTCTAGAACCCCACAGAAAGTGCATTTTCCAGCACAGAGTTTGGGGAGCCAGGCTCTGACGACTTCTCACGCTGTACCGTCATGTATGGTTGCGTTGGGCCAGTCAGTTGCACATGAACAAAGGTTCCTGGGTAAAAGGGGCAAGTGGAGGCTGAAATGCATGCAGCTCACTCTCTCCTTACCAAGCCATACACTTGGGTTAGGAGCTGCATCTGCCTTAGGGAAAAAGGGGGCCTTTGCCTAATTCCCCCAAGCCATGAGCCAGGGCTCCTCATGTATGTTGAGTGTAAGCAGAGCATCCTCGCTGGTGTGCCATGGCATGTTACAGCGCCTCCAGCCACACAGGTCCTCTCTGTTTGGAGTTGCGGGGAAGGGCCACCACCTGTAATCACCAGAGGCCGCTAGCCACAGGCAGCCTGCAGACATGAGCAATCCTGATGGTTTACGTCATTGTGCCATAAAAACATTTTCTACAGGTGCTGTGATGTGAAGAAGATTGGAAAGCACTGTGCCGAGGTAGGGAATTCACCCATTTCAGAACGGGCACATGTCTATTTAAGCACAAGCTATGTCCAGCAGCAGCGGGCTTCCTGTTTTTAAGCACAAGCTATGTCCAGCAGCAGCGGGCTTCCTGTTTTTCATACGGGGTGAGTGGCTAGTTTGCAATCTTCAGGTTTGCAATCTTCAGGCAAGATCTGGGCAGAGGAAGTCTGGGTCCAGGGTATCTGCCGTTATCTGTGGTTATAGTTCAGTTTCCATGGAGAGGATGCTGTCTGGCAGCCTAGATCACAGATACATAGCTTGGAATCCCAGGAGGTTTTCTGTCCTGGGTGCTGACGGTTTTGTCCATCTGTGCCCAAGAGGGAGAGAGAGGACATGTTAACATGAAGGTGCTGCTGGGGAGTTCTAGTTCCATGAGGGAGATGCAAATGGGCGGGGAGATGCCCTGAGGGAATCTGGGGTAGCAGGGCCTTGCCCTTTGCTCCAGTAATCACATTTAAAAGCCTTTGGGTCATCAACTTTTTCACCCAGAAAAAAAAAAGAGTTAGTGGGTGTGGGACAGAGTGACTGAGCCTGAGGAACCTAAGCTGCTGCTGCAGCCAAGCAAGTTAATCGAGTTCAAGGGCACCTCTCTCAACTCTGTGACCTTGGAGCCCCCTTAGCAACCTGTTCACATGGAACAGCCCTCACCTCACACCAGAGGCTCTCTTGTAGCTTGTCCCCTGTAGAGGGTGCTTCACTCTTAATCATGATTCTCATCTAACCTTGAGCCACACCCCCACATGAGAGTTTAGGGCCATGGGCTGACAATTGACCACATTCCTGTCCTCAGAGAGAATCCTGATATGGTATTTCCAGATTCTTGCCTGTGGCTTCTGGCTAGGCAGTAGTAAAGAGAGGCCTGCCACCAGTGACTCCCTGTCCTGGGAGGGCTGGTGAAGATCCATGAGTCGAATCAGCTCACCTTACACAGCGAGATTTCATCGTAGATTCTGAGCTCTGCTGGCTGAGGATCCTTTGGAGCCGTGACACATGTGTATATTGTGTTCTTTGAGACATCATCTGTGTCACAAATAAAGATAGAAACACAGTATGCAAAAGGTGGATGACTTGCCCTAGCCGAGTTGGCTCAGTGAATAGAGAGAGCATTGGCTTATAGACCGAAGGGTCTCGGGTTGGAATCTGATCAAGGGCATGTACTTCAGTTGCAGGCTTCTCCCCTGCCCGGACCTTGGTCGGGGCTCATGCAGGAGGCAACCAATCAATCTGTTTCTCTTCCATCGATATTTCTCTCTTTTTCCCTCTTTCTCCACTTCCCCCCACCAAAAAAAAAATCAATGAAAAATATCCTTGGGTGAGAATTAAAAAAACAACAACAAACACACACATACACACACAAAACCAAAACCAAAAGGTGGCTGACTTTTTAGAGATGATTTACTCTAACATTTTCTTTTTAAGATGAAAAAATGAAGCTCTCAGAGGATAAATGGCTCCCATCCTCTTGAGATGGATGTTTGGGTGTTTGGACTGTCGTTCCCTTTTCTAGGGATTACATGTGCTATGGGAGGCACCCAGTTCAAGCCTCACCCAGAGCTCAGTGGGAATTCTTTTTCTATTCTAGAGACCACATTAGACTAAAGAGACTCTCTTCAGTCTCTGCGAGGGTAGTCAAAGTAGCTCTTCTACCAGGGTCTTCATAGTGTTTCTGGAACTTAGCATTGCCTGCCTTGCATGGCTAGCTATTTTTTTTTTTTTTTAATGAGAAAGTCTTGTTTTTTCTACTAGATTGAGACTCTCTAGTTGCATACTCTGTTGGAATCACCTGGCTCAGACATTATTGTTATTGCCTCAATGTTAAGGACATTGCAGATGCTCCACAAACATTTGTGGCTTGCTTGATTGGCTCACACAGCCAAACACTTAGTAAGCTCCCTCTATGTGCCAGATTCTGTGTGAAGCTATAGAGAAGCAAAGACAGGAGAGACATGTCTCCACTTTTAATAAATTACGGGCTGGTGGAAGCACTCATCCCAGTGTAGCACTTTTCTTTGCTCCTAACGTGGAACGTTTTAGGATCAAGTTGAAAAGATACATCTAGAAAAATCAAAAGAGTCTTCATGTTCAAGGGCACTAACATACCACACTGAACAGATCTGAGTTGAGCAATCTCAGAAGGATCCAACATTTGAAAGTTTAGTTCTTCCAGCCCCTGCCTCAGACTTGGTGAATAAGCTAGACTGAGTGTCCTCTTGGCTCACTTATAGATAAAAAACAAACAAAAACAAAACAAAACAGTCCTTCTTCCTTCCCAGAGGCTGTAAGATAAGAATTTCAAACTCAAAGGCTAGCCGAAACCGGTTTGGCTCAGTGGATAGAGTGTGTCAGTCTGCGGACTGAAAGGTCCAGGGTTTGATTCCAGTCAAGGGCATGTACCCTGGTTGCGGGCACATCCCCAGTAGGGGGTGTGCAAGAGGCTGCTGATAGATGTTTTTCTCTCATCAATGTTTCTAACTCTCTATCTCTCTCTCTTCCTCTCTTTAAAAAAATCAATAAAATATATTAAAACAAAAACCAAAACAAAAAAAACTCAAAGGCTAACATAGGCCAAATAAATGAGACATGTGGCCGATGGGCTGTGAGTGTGACATGCTTGCTGTAAAGTATTGAAGACAGATGTTTTTTTTTTTTTTTTTTTGAGGAACCCGGAAGATCACCTATGTCCTGAGTGGGTTGTGTGACTTCTCATCATGAGGCCAAGCTCCTTATCATGGGGCCTATCAATGGTAAGAATGGTAGCTGACATTGACTGAGTACTCACTACGTGCCAGGCACCAGACAAGTGTTTTATATGTGGAATTCCACTTAACCCATTACTATGCATATTTTATAGTGAGACTCACAACGATAAAATAATTGGTAGCTGATAAGTGGTCAAACTGGGACCTTGACCCCTGACCAAGCATGTCAAACTCAAAGGCGAACGCGGGCCAAATAAACAAGGCATGCGGCCTGCGGGCTGCGAATTTGACCTGCTTGCCCCAGACTGTCTGCAAAGCACAAGCTTAGCCTTAGCCTCTCTGAATTTGTCTCTCCCAATAGTCATCCAGAGAAACGTGTGGCTGAAAACTTACCAGGTTTCTTCTTACTCTTGAGGATCTTGAAGGAGGAATCTGAGGAATCAGATCAAAGGAGAGTCAAGAACCTGGAAGCAGAGGGAGAGCCTCTCTACATCCGGGCTTTTTCTTCTGATTTGGGCGAAGGGGAGATTCTGGGAGGCTATAGGGTTAGGAGGAATAGGATGGCGTAATTTCCCCATAGGGTGCTAAGGTCAGGCTTTCTGAGTTGAAAATAGCACAAATTACAGAAGAATTCAGAGGGATCTGGAAGAATCTAGTGACAACCACGGAATACCAAATTAGTTCTCTAAAGTAAAAAATATGATGGAATTGAAGACCCTCTAATCCAAGCCTTATTTCATAGGTAAGAGCACTGAGCCGGAGAGGTAAAGATACATGTCTAGTAAAGCACAGCTTGTTAATGGAGTGCAGAACTTGAACCCAAGCTCTGGGGCCTTTAGATACTGGTGATCCCATGAACATATTCTGAAGAGCATTCAGAGTGATCTCATACAGTCAGGGCCACCAGTCCGGGAGCTTGTGTGGTGGTGGGTGGGGATTGTAGACATGCTGATCCCCTGGAACAGAAGCCTCTCCACACCACCTCGGCTACATGACTCCCGTCCCAGGGAGAATCCTACCTCGTCCTCTCTTCCAAAACAGGAACACAAGCACTGCAGGAAGGATGAGTATCACCAGAAAGAGCACAACCAGTCCGCTTAGCCACCTCGCGTGGTGCATATGGATGCTCATGGCGCTATCTGGAGATGAAAGAGGCAGTGAGACAACTCAGAAAATAGGCCCAGATGCTGGGGAGGCTTGTCCACATTCCAGGGGCACTGTCCAAACCGGGGACCCTCCCGGGGAGGGAAACTATACTTTCTGCTATGGAAAGTCAGGGTTAGAAACAGAAGCAAGCCGAAACTGATTGGGTTCAGTGGATAGAGCATCGGCCTGTGGACTGAAGGGTCCCGGGTTCGGTTCCGGTCAAGGGCATGTATCTTGGATGTGGGCACATTCCCAGTAGGGGGTGTGCAAGAGGCAGCTGATCGGTGACTCTCTCTCATCGATGTTACTAACTTTATCTCTCTCCCTTCCTCTCTGTAAAAAATCAATAAAATATATTAAAAAAAGAAAAAAGAAAAAAAGAAACGGAAGCAGGGATGATCCCTCTGATGTGGACTGGTTTCCAGGGCTTCCTGGGAGGAGATGCCCCTGGGGACCAGGCCTAGCATGAGGGAGGCACTTTGGTCTGGAGAATGAGGCCCTCAGTCAGGCCTGACAGCTCTCCAGAGTGATGTGAAGGACTCCAGGGAAGATGGACAGAGCCGGTTACCTGCACAGAGCTGCTGGGCAGAGATGGAGTCAGAATTGTTGCTGACGGGGTTCCAGGCGGTACAGGTATAAGTCAGCTCTTGGTTTTTGGGAATCTGGAAGATTTGAAGAACGCTACCCTCTTTCCCTGTGGGACTCCACATGTATGTCACATTTTTTTCTTCTTTCTCCACAGAGCATGTCAGTGTGACATTACAGGTACTGTTCTCAGATGTCATTAAACTCTGAGTAATTTTCGGCTTCCCAAGTCTACCTATGAGGAAACATATTAGCCTATACCAGCTTGTAAGGGTCAATTGCTATGTTAATTTCTTTTTCAAATGTTTAGTAAAATTTAGTTAATTTCTTTTTCAAATGTTTTACAGACATCATGTAAAAGCAAAGTGTAAAGTCTTCCAATAAAATAAACGATATTAAAATAAACCGAATACTCAAAACTCATCACTTTCTAATTTTTTTGACAATTTACCATTATTTATGCTCTAAAAGTTACTTATATCTACATATCTGTCTCTTGTAATGATGTGCAAAGTCTTTCCAACTCTGCATGTCTTAAAATAATGTATCTGTAACACCATAGGTGGATCTTGAAGGTATAATGTTAATAAATCTGATGTAAAAGGACAAAACCATACGACTTCTCTCATATGTGAAATATAAAACTAAAAGTAATAAACAAACTATCAAAACAAAACAAAACAAAACAAAACAAAAACTTAGGCACAGACATCAGAATAGAGGTTACCAAAGGGGAAGACAGGGAAAAGGGGGTCAAATATGTTATGGAAGGAAACAAGACTTTGGGATGTGAACACACAATATTGTATACAGATGTTGTGCAGCTGAAATTCATATAATGTTATTAACCAATGTCACCTGAATAGAATTAATTTAAAAAATCAGCCACAATGGGAGTGTTTATACCACAGGAATTGGCAAATGCTACAAACTTGGACTTGAGTTATTGCCTTGTTGATAGTTGCTGTCAGTTTAAGAAAGCAAAGAAGGAAAGGTTACTAAATAAGATTAAACTTAAAAGTGTCTATTGCCATTTCATTGTGAATAGCAAAAGAACAAAATAAAATTAAAAAATTAGAAAATATTCTTCCAGTATTTGAAAGCCACTATCCAGTTCAGCAAAGTTGCAACTAAATGTATAAAGGGATGAACACAAACATCTTAAAGTTATTGCAATAAGCTGCTCTGAAATAAGTTTCTGCCTGAAATAAGTTTTTGTTTCTCTGAGATAAATGCCCAAGAATGAAATCATATATATAACCGTTTGTTTTTAATTTACAAAAGTGTATTGTGATAAAATATACATGGCATAACATTTAGGATTTTAACCATTTTTAATTATACAGTTAAGTACATTCACATTGTTGTGATTGGGTGCAAACCTGCAACAAGTACATGGGGCCGGGATGAGTGGGAGCAGCAAGAAGGAGTGGCAGGGGACATTGGATTGTAGGTTTTATCCTGATCCCTGCAGGCCATCCTGAGGGATCTCTGCTTGTCCACGAATTTGTACACCGGGTGTCTAGTATATATAAAAGCCTAAGTGACCATTCAACCATTAGCTATGATGTGTATTGACCACGAGGGGGGCAGATACTCAACGCACAACCATGGAAACATGGAACAGACTGATGAATCTCAGAGAAAAAGGGGGCAGAGGGAGGGCAAGAAGAGATTAACTAAAGATTTTATATGCATACTAGAGGCCTGGTGCATGGATTTGTGCACTGATGGGGTCACTTGGCCTGGCCTATAGGGATTGGGCCAAAACTGGAAGTCCAACATCCACTAAGGGATCCTGGATTGTGAGAGGGCACAGGCCAGGCCAAGGGACCCCACTGACACATGAATTTGTGCACTGGGCCTCTAGTATGTAAATAAATTGCACAGAGCAACACATACACTCACACATAAATCAGTGCCTGTGTAAGTGGTGAAATATAAAGTAAGCTCTATTTGTTGCACAAATGCCAATTTCCTGGTTTTGATATTAAAACTATCTCTCTATATAAAACCTAATAGACCCTTGGGATGCCTGACTGCCAGTTTAGGCTTGATCCTGGGGATCGGGCCTAAACCAGCAGTTGGACATCCGCCGAGAGGACTCAGATTGGTGAAGGTACAGGCTGGGCTGAGGGGATACCCCTTTCCCCCGTGCATGATTTTCATACACTGGGCCTCTAGTAGTTATATAAGATATTACCATTGGGAGAGACTGGGTACAGTGGGCACAGAACATTCCTGTACATGTCTTTACACCTTTCTATGCACCTGTAATTATTTCAAATGAAAAGTTTTCTAAAGTATTTTGCACACACTATCCCACATGGGGTCCTCACAATAACTATGGGAAGGGAATGGTATGATTTTTCACATTTTATAGAGAATAAAAATAAGGTCATGGGGCAAACTGCTGATAGAAGGTTACACTGCTGAAAACAAGCAAATCCAAACCCTCTTGAAAAGTATTAATGTAGTTATGCTTATTTATAAGCATGAAATGATTTAGGGAACCCAGTAGTCAGAAATACAGTTGTTCTATAATAGCAAATTTGCCAAGTAAAAATAAAAAACAAGCCCTTTATCTTCCCACGACTTACGATAAACTTGAAGTTTGTAGGTCCTGGTGAATGTCTCCTTTTTGGAGTTGTTTGTATTTATGTCAGCTTTGTAGGTCTCTGAATCCTCCATCCTCAAATTGCTCAACTCCAGGTTGTAGTTCTGACTCGAGACGCTTATTCGTTGATTATAATATTGGTGGGTCACAAGGACTTGTGGGGGTTTGTCTGAGTGGGCCATTACAACAGCAACAGATGTTTTGGAATTCCTCCAATTAATGATGGTAACTTGCTGTACGTCTTGGATATTTAAAGGGAAAGTAACTGTCTCCCCCAGAATCCCATTCACGGTGAGGATGTTTGTGTTGCTTTCAGCTGCTTCCAGACCTGAGGACATAAATAGAAAATTGTGGCCATTTGGCTGTTGCACCATTCAGAGCTCCCTGTCTCCCCAGGCTGGAGTCTTCCTTAGGAGCTCCCATGGATGCAGATCATCCAGTTTCTTGAAGGTGCCTTTCTGTTTTAGCATTCTACCCTAGACATATTTAATAGGTTATGATGGATACATTTTCTAAAGGATTATCATTCAAAAATGAAGTTTCCCAGTGAATCTCCAGGGATCTATTTAATTAAGAACATGTTTATCTAGACTTACAGACTCTGAGAGTTAGAAGGAACATAAGTCTCCATGAGGTCTGAGATAGCGAATGTCTTTCTTTCCCAATATCAGATGTCCAAGAAGTGGAAGGGTTGGGGCAAGAGCCTGGGATGGCTCCTGTGGTCTTTGCAAAAGTTACATTTATGCCTATATTCCTGGCAGGTACAGTGTTCTGGAGTAAATACTCCCTAAGTTGATGATTTTAAAAATATATATATATTTTTATTGATTTTTTACAGAGAGGAAGAGAGAGGGATAGAGAGTTAGAAACATCAATGAGAGAGAAACACCGATAAGCCGCCTCCTTTCCACTTCCTACTGGGGATGTGCCTGCAACCAAAGTACATGCCCTTGACCGGAATTGAATCTAGGACCTTTCAGTTCACAAGCTGACGCTCTATCCACTGAGCCAAACCGGTTAAGGCTGGGGGATCTTTTTTATTAACTATTGTATCTTCAGTCCAGGAAGAGTACCTGACACACAGTGCGTGGTTAGTAAATACTTCTGGGATAAAGTGATAAATGGATTTCACTTATGTGTTGCCTAGAATGTCTTGGAACAACTTCTGAAGTAAAGTTCATTTATTCATTCACACATTTATGAATGAATGCATATATTTATTCAAGGTCAGCTTTGTTTCAGATACTGTGGCAGGCGTTTATTATCCTAATAAAAGAGTAATATGCATATTAACCACTATTCCAACACACAAAATGGCTGCCCTCATGTGGACACAAGATGGCCAGTAGGGGAGGGCAGTTGGGAGGGTCCAGGCCTGCAAGGAGGGCAGTTGTGGGTGATCAGGTCAGCAGGGAAGGGCAGTTGGGAGGGACCAAATCTGCAAAGGAGGGCAGTTGGGGGCAATCAAGCCAGCAGAGGAGGGAAGTTGGGGGCGACCAGGCCTGTAGGGGAGAGCAGTTGGTGGGGGGGGACCAGGCCAGCAGGAGAGGGCAGTTAGGGGTGACCATGCCTGCAGGGGAGGACAGTTAGGGGTGATCATGCCTGCAAGGGAGGATAGTTAGGGGCAATCAGGCTGGTGGGGAGCAGGCAGAAATTAATCAGGCTGGCAGGGGAGTGGTTAGGTGGTGATCAGGCTGGTAGGCTGAAGTGATTAGGGGCAATCAGGAAGCCAGGCAGGCAAGCAGTTGGGAGCCAGCAGTCCTGGATTGTGAGAGGGCTGTTTGACTGCTGGGCAGTCAGACATTTTTCAAGGGGTCCCAGATTGGAGAGAGTGCAGGCTGGGTTGAGGGACACACATTCCCATGCACGAATTTAATGCAATGGGCCTCTAGTATAATCTGTAATATGAATGTTTGTTGAGCAAACTACTCTTTTAAGCATTAGGAAAAACACACCAAGGCGAGGAGACAAACTGTTGATGGAAGATTACAGAACAATGTAATAAGGAGTTGGGGATACAATGATGAACAAAAATAGATATACTTCCTACTTCCAGGATGTAACAGTTAAATAACGAGACCAATGTGGATGAGGTAACCACAAAAGGTTAAATATAAAACAAGTAAATATTATGGTGGTTGGGAGAGAATAGCAAGAGGAACTAGTTCTGTTTTGGGAATTCAGGAACACTTTCTAGTAAAAGCTGAAGGATGAGTGTATTTATTTATGTATTTATTTATTCCTCATCCGAGGACATTTTTTTTTCATTGATTTTTAGAGAGAGTGGAGGAGAGAGGGAAAGACAGAGAGAAATATCAATTTGAGAGAAACACATTGAATGGTTGTCTTCTGTATGAGCTGCGATCAGGGCCCGGGTCAGGGAGAAGCACGCAACCGAAGTACATGCCCTTGATCAGATTCGAACCTGGGACCTTTTGGTTCAGGCTTATGCTCTATCCACTGAGCCAAACCAGTCAGAGCAAGAATGAGTATTTTTAAAATCTAACATGAGAGGGAAAAAAAGAATTAAAGGTTTATTTTCTTTCCCTCCATCACCTAATAAAATAAATTGATTTAATACATAATTTGTGAAACGAAAAGCAATATAATTATAAGATGTTATTTTTTTCACCTTTTCCTCTTCTCTCATTACTTTTTTGTTTTCACTGAGCTCTATTTAGTAATAAATAGTGTTTTGAGCCACTACAGATTATATTACAAATGTTTAAAAAACCAACAGACACAGGCACTGACCCATTAGTCAGAGTATCAGTCGTAAACAGGAACAGTGCTCCTCTGATGAATACTGGCTGCGGGTGAGCCCCAAAGAGCAGCATGTAAGTTTTCCACTTAAGTGGGTTCAGGCTAATCCTAAAATTTATCCAGGGCTTGGCATAAAGAGTGCAAGAATAAAGGTCATTGAGACTACAGGTCATTTTGAAGTGTCATAAAAGCAAAGGGCCCGGCCAATGTGGCTCAATGGTTGAGTATCTACCTATGAACCAGGAGGTCACGGTTCAATTCCTGGACAGGCACATGTCTGGTTGTAAGATTGATCCCCAGTAGAGGGCCTGTAGGAGGCAGCTGATCAATGATTCTCTCTCATCATTGATGTTCCTATCTCTCTCTCCTTCTCCTATATATATATATATCTTTTTTAAAATTTTTTTTTAAGCAAAGGGATTTTTAACCTGTCTCACTAAGGCCGCCTTTGTCCTCACCGCTAAGCAGTTCCTGAATGAACCCGGGGCCTGCAAATATAAACCTCTTTTCTTTCAGACCAACCAACATTTCCTCTGAGGAAGACCACCGCAGTCAAGGCCTGATGACTCAGTTAGGGAAATATGAAACAGGGCCCTGGGGGGCTCGAGAGACGAAGGACCCCCATTTACAAACATGAAGTGCTATCTATGTGCCAGATGCTGTGTTAGGGACCCAGGGATGAAAAGAACATGGCTGCAGTCTTGGTAAAGACAGACAGGTAGACAAGTACTGCATTCAATGTGATGTGTGGTAAGAGCACAAGGAACAGACCTAACTGGTTTGGTTCAGTGGATAGAGTGTAGGCCTGTGAACTCAAGGGTCCCAGGTTCGATTCCAGTCAAGGGCATGTTGCGAGCACATCCCCAGTAGGGGGTGTGCAGGGGGCAGTTGATTGATGTTTCTCTCTCATCAATGTTTCTAACTCTCTATCCCTTCCCTTCCTCTCTGTAAAAAAAAATCAATAAAATATATTAAAACAAAAAACAACAACAAAAATCCAAAACACACAAGGAACACACCATTGGGGGACCAAGCAGAAACTAAAGTTGCTTTCAGAGGCCAGAGTCATAGTTTACCAAAATTCATTCTCTTGAACATGAATTCTCTCCAGGTAAACTGTTCCATTGGGCTAATGACATCAGGTAGAGGGACATGGGGAGGGTCCCAGCCTGAGTTTCTGAATGTCCCAGATTTGACTTGTGACTTGTGCAGTCACACAGAACATTGAGCTCAGAAAGACCCTGAATTTGGTTTAATGATGCTGTGCTACCTTGAAATTCTTCATAGTATTTGAACAAGGAGCTTCATATTTCTGTTTTAAAAATACATATTTTTATTGATTTCAGAGAGGAAGGGAGAGGGAGAGAGAGATAGAAACATCAATGGTGAGAGAGAATCACTGATCGGCTGCCTCCTGCACGCCCCTAACTGGGGATCAAGCCTGAAACTCAGGCATGTGCCTTTGACTAGAATTGATCCTGGGACCCCTCAGTCCACAGTCTGACACTCTATCTACTGAGCCAAACCAACTAGGGCAAGAGTTCCATGGACTGAGTGGCCAGATTATTATGATCTCTGAACGCATAATATTCTGGCCATTCAGTGTGTGAATGTGTATATGTGTGTATGTGTATGTGTATGTGTATGTGTATGTGTATGTGTATGTGTATGTGTATGTGTGTGTGTGTGTGTGTGTGTGTGTGTGTGTGTATTAGAGGCCCAGTACATGAATTTGACATGAGTGGAGTCTGGCCAGCCTGGCCAGGGGGAGGAGACATGGGTGGTTGGCTGGCCTGCCTGCTAGTCAAACTCCTGATGGAGGGGATAATTTGCATATTAGCCTTTTATTATATAGGATATACACTGAGTGGCCAGATTACTATGCATTAAGAGATCATAATAATCTGGCCACTCAGTGTACTTCATTCTGTACTGGGTTCTACAAATTATACAACTGATCCTGGTGCCAGATCTTAAGACTTTATTTTTTATTTTATTTTATTTTTTTACATAAGGCCCCTAGGACCTAATTGCCATTCTGCTCATTGGACTCAGATCAGGTGTGAAAAGGTGGATGAAGTGTGGGTGGTGTTACATCATCATTTTGGTGGGTTCTTCCATTGAACTCCAGGAAGTGTGTAGGCAGTTAGCTAAGGTGGAGTCCTTCCTAGTATTAGAGCAGATGGGCAGCCACAACATGGTTGATGTGGGGTCTGGTTTTGCAGTTATGTCTTATCTTCCATGGTAAGTCATCAGGAAGTGGTGCTGGCTGGGTGGCAGATGGGAGCTGGGCGGAAGTCATGCTGCTATTTGTGCTCTGGTGCGGTGAGAATTATGGGCTTGCTGGGAAATGGCAAAGGGTTTATAAAGGCATAAAATAAAGATTCTACCACCTTCAAATGTTCCAACCGTGATGTGAGAGAGGCAACTGCAAAACCTTAGCATGTAGTGGAAAGATAGGGAGCTGACGATGTAGGTGCTAGTACTTACATGTATGAGCTGGGAAACCTTATAAAAATCACAAAACCGTTCCGAGTCTCAGTTTATTCATTCATAGAATGGAAA